CAGGCAGCTGAGGACCAAACTGAAAACTCCACAAACACACACAAACACACACACACATGCAAACACATTTACAGGGGTGGACAAATCAGTAGCCCGGGCATGCAGGACAGGCACATTTTGTTTTTTTATTCATATTTGCCCTGTGGACAAGTAGGTTCAACAACCAGAAAAAAGAAACACTTTACTGACTTTGCAAAACAAAAGTTTTCATTTGGTATGTATGATTAAATTTAATGTACTTCACAGTCCTTGATGTTTAACTATAGCATGCACTTTCTAATCCTACCACCTGCTGCACAACACACCGGCCAAGTTGCAATCTGACGGTACAGCGATTTTTACTAGGCAGATTAATTAGAGTGCACAAATGACAGATGATTTTTTTTTTATTCCAGAATGAGGAACACACAGGTATGTGAAAATACTTCAGAAACCGAGCAAAATAAAGTTTGGCACAAAGCTTGTGACTCTTCTACTTACAACATCGTAGTTAAGCATATAAACAGAAAATGATGATGCTAGCCAGACCTGAATAATCTATTTTAGGTGCAATGCGAGGACAGAATATCACATCTTATATGCAAAACACCGGCCAGTGATTTCCTGATTTTGTATCTCAGGCACAAACATATGAAAAACTTTGTTCGAAGAGGATAATAATCGTATACTTATTCATTTCCTTTGGTCTGAATTAATGTACTCATGTTCCAGGTATCCAAAACATGTGACTGGGCAGCTCATTGAAACTTTTACTTGCCCAGTGGGCTAGATAATAAATGTATAATTTGTCCACTCCTGCGTTTGGGTCACTTTGTCCATTTACATCCAAAGACGCTTTCTAACTGTAAAAGCTAAACCTCAGCACACAATCACGTCATTGTTGACCTGAAAACTTGTGTTTGTTTCTAGTAATGTCATGCATCATTAATAAAACCATCAGACTAAGTTTCCAAGAGCTGCAGCAACTCCAAAAAATTACATACATTACATTACAATAGCAGTCAGGACGCAGGCGTCCAGACCGTCATTACAAACGACATGAATAAACAGGAGTCCGACTCAGGCGAGGAAGAGTGATGAAGCTTTCCTGTCAGGGGAAGAGGAACATTCCCACTGAAAATCAAATAACACAGCGCCTGAGAAAATGCAGAGCAGAAATTACCCACTTACAGCACAGCCGTGGATATTTAAGGCTCTGAGGGAATTATGGAGGTGAATACATGCACCAATTGTGAAAACAACACCAGAAAATGAGGATGAATTGAATAAGGCTGAGATTATGCGGATGGGATGGATCCCTGAGTGTTGTGCTAGCGCTGTGTTCCTCCCGCTTTCACCAGTAATGGGATTTCTAGGCTTAAATGTACTTCCATTCAGCGCTGGAGCCACTGGTCGGAGAAAACTATTGATCCACAGTTTTAGCCATGCAAGGCCAGTAAGTGGAGAGCAGCATGCCCTAAATATATAATGAGGTCTTTCTAAGAGAAGTATGATGCCTAAGGTTTCTTTATAAACTTGGAAAATCTTTCGGTTTTTACCCATATTATTATAATTATTATATTATTTCTCTAAAAAAACAGTACTTCTAAGAGGTTAAAGTCAGGAAAAATGAACTCAACCAGGGCTAACATCAAACTCACTTAACCCATGTCCAATATAATTAGTATGACATAGTTTATTAGTGTGTATCATGGAAACATAATATATTAAGCAGCATTGTGTTTATGTCACTAATGGCTTTATAAACTGCGGAGACAGAGGCTGCCATTTTGGTACAATAAACAGTAAAATAAACAAAACAAATTAAAATAAATTAATGTTTGGCTGATTGTTGCTTAAAGAAAAAGCAGGAAGAATTTTCAAGTTATCTCTGATTATCAGTGGTACCTATATCGGCTTAAATTGCATGTGTCCAGATGCTTAACAAACAGTGAAAATGGTTAGACAGTAAGAAAGCACTTGCTGTATTTATATACATGGATAGGTATGTTAATGTGAAATTCATTGTAATATATGTATATGAATCCCTATCAATGCAGCAGCAGACATGTCAGTAGGCCAGGCTCCTGGGATTTGTATATTTCATGTCCAGGCTTTTTTTAAATTATTATTATTCATAGTTGCCCAAGTGACATATAGGTTCAACAACCAGAAAAAATGTTCGTATTTGAGTTTTGCAAAAAAAAAAAAAAAAAATGGTTTTGTTAAGGTTCTGTTTAACCTTAATGAGATTGACAGTGGTATGACGCACCTCAATGCTGTAATTATAGTGCGCTCTACTTGTTCCACATCCCACGACCTGCTGCACTACACACATCAGGAGAGATGATCTGGTTGATAGATTAATTAGCATGCACAATGACTACAGATGATCTTTTCTGAATCAGGAGCATGCAGGTATGTGGAAACCCTGACAAAATTTGACGCAAAGCCGTCTTATAACTACACAGGGACACATTGCATTTAAACACAGAGAAAATAAAGACACTAAAGACACCTACTAGCTTTTTGTTAAGGGCACAAACATGATATGCTACATTAAAACCTTGCTGGAAGATGATGATAATAATCATAAACTCATTTGTTTCTTTTAGTCTCTAATGATGCACTTAGCTTGCTAACTAGCTCCCCATATATTATTACATTTCATTAGCTACCACTTTTTAGCCTAGTCAATTAGGACTCTAGGCAACTAAAACACAGGAATGGGCAGCGCACTCGAGCTTCCAATATCTGGGCTATATAATGAACTTATCATTTGGCTACCCCCGCATTGCATTATAAATGGTCTGTCTGGCCTAAATTCTGTTCAGAGACCCGAGAGAAGAGGATTAGCTTTATTATTTAAAGAAAGCTGTTTATCTGTAAAGAGAAAGGAGAATCTGAATGCATCCCTGCTCCGGTGATCACTAATATGCATTAATGGTCTAATTGTAGTCACCCAATAACAAACCTGATGACACTAAAAGTGAAAGATCTTCTGACTGAAATTAGCTCTGTTGAGGGAAAATCTTTTGTAATGACTTCTAAATCAGTCCCCTATTTCCCTTAAGATTTCCCCTGGATCATTTGAGCTAAAAATACTAAAATCACTTCCAGCAGCAAGGATGAGCTTTTCAGCATCTTCAATAACAAAGCTCAGATTACTCTGTCAGGTGGCTACAAAAGAGCACTTTCTCAGGAATCATGACCACAGTCCAAATATAGGCTGAACACCTGAACAGTCACTTCATATTAGTCTTAAGGGCTGAAGTGTAAAGGCAAACCTAATATAAGGCATAAGTAAAGTTTATTTCAGTAAAGGAATTAGCTCAGAGTCCTATTCTTAAGCACGTTATCCTTAACAGGAGTACAGTAATCTGATTGTTGCCATGCCCAGTTAACCACAAAGGATGACCCTTGTGTCTAAAGAGGACCTGTGTTTTTATCAAAGAGGAACATCACATGGATAACAATCGCCTACACAGTGTCCAGATGCTGCAGCATGAATATATTTGACATTTAAAAACTCTTACTAGTATAATTATTTCTTCACAGTCTTGAACTTATTCATTACAATTATGCATTGCAAATCCTTCATTTTGAATAAGACTGGGTTTTCTGTTTCCTGTAAAAGGCATATAAGCATTTCAGCAGATGCTCTAAATGAGATATTTATGAGTTAAGCATCCGTGAAGCTTTCCTCCTCAGCAGGAAGATACAAATGGTGTTAAATTATAACCTAGAGAGCTTGATGAGTGACATATTCCTGAGAGAGGAAAGGAGAGGGATAGAGAATATACGGGTTAAAAAAGAGCAAACTAAGACAGGCCTTTAAAAAAAGGAAAGAAAAGAAGCTTTTGTCTTCTTTCCTTCTGAGTCAGGTGAAGTGTTTTGAACTGGAACATGACATGGTCACAGTAAAAGAGACAGCTGCATTGTGGTCAGGGTTGGGAGGAGAGAAGAGAAAAGACACAGCGGTGTGGCTTTATAACATTAGTCTCAGGCACTCAGAGGGACAGAGCAGAATCAGACTGAAAGGCATGACAGTGTGGGCACAGCATATGGCGACCGTATTAAAACCCTATATGGATAAAGCATAAAAGATATCCAGAATGTTCATTTACAATTCTATACATTTTTTCCAAGACACCAATACTTATATTCGAGGAAGCATATCCTATGCATATCCAGAATGCACACACACACACACACAATTTCTCATAAGCACTTCAGTTCAGGCTACATGTCACAAATCCCCTCTTACCCCCTCTTACCCTAGCTTAAAAGTAAACATAAATGTCAATGAAAGAGTAAGCATTTCTTGCAGAACCATTTCATTAGCGTATTGATCACAGATACTGAATCTGACTAATCAATGGAGGCCATCAAGACATCAGGTTCACACATTTGGTGTTTGGGTGCTTACAAGGAACAGCAGCCACTCGAGCTGTCATTGTCCAGCAGACAGATAAATGAGCACTTGCTGAGAGGCTGCGGTAGCACTGCAATCTCAGAAATCTCCAAGTTCTGATAGCTGACCCTGAAAACCTGAAAAATGACACAATGAATTTACCACTTGCTATTAAAATGAATTGGCGTCCTGTGTCTACGCATGTGGTGCGTTAGTAGTCATAATCATGTTTGCAGCTTGTGGCTTAAATTAGCATGGCTATCAGCCATATAAACGGTGATGGCAGAAAACAAGCATGCACCAGACGTCAGTGGATTGGATGGAAAAATAAGTCAAATCCAATCCAATAGCAATCATAAAAGTACATTTTGCATTTTATTCATTTGGCTGATGCTTTTATCCAAAGTGACTAACAATTGAAACAGGACACACCTGAGCAGTTGAGGGTTAAGTGTCCCAAGCATGGCAGCTTGACAATGCTGGCATCTCAACTCACAACCTTCCAAGAAGTAACACAATGCCATAACCACTTCACCCAATTCACAGTTTCAGGCAAAGCAATAAAATGGTATACATAAAAAAACAGGAATATGGTCCATTGATGGGGTCCCTGGTGGTCTAGTGGATAAGGATCCCACTCTCTCACCTCCGTGGCCCTGGTTCGATTTCCGGGCAGGGAACCAATCCAGCCACTGGGAGTGTACTCTCAGTGCCGGTCCCAAACCCGGATACAATGGGAAGGCCGCGTCAGGAAGGGCATCCAGCGTAAAACCTGTGCGAAATCAAATGTGGCGACCCCTAACAGGAGCAGCCGAAAGAACAACAACAACAACAACATGGTCCGTTGATGGTCAAAGTCACGCATAAGTAGGGCACTACTCGAAGCAGAGCTACACTGCAGCACTAGGGATCTGGAAAATCACTGAGAATGCTAATGGACCAGAAATAAGTTCTATATTGCAGCTTGGACCATTAGCAGCTCCACAACTTTTTTCTGATAAGTCAGATGTAATTCAATTTTCTGTGACATGACGAGAACCCGGCAGTGGTTTTGAGATTGTGCTGAAAACATTAGCACTACATTCATGTAGCAGTAATAATATAACATTCTGCCTGCTGGGGTAATAAACGTAATAGAACGTGTCCTATGATAAATATGATTGATAATATACTCACATACCTGTCATATACTGATCTTAAACTTGACTGTGCTATTGACATTTCTTGTTGGAAATTTAAAGCCTGTGATGACTGGCATCATCACTAGACTGATCATTTAATATGAAATGGCAATAGTGACACTCAGCAAGAAACCAAAAAGATGCAGCTGGTGGTACAAAATGAAATGATCTTCACGGTTAAAGTGGTGGAGTACTGACCTTTAGAACAAAAGGGTCATGGTGACCATTAGATTATGGATGACAGCAGTGAGCAGGGACTCGCTCCTGGTTTCATTTACTTATTACAGAAGCACAACAGGTTGCAAATGATGTGACAATTCAGCTACACAGTGTGACATCCAGGCTTAACAACAGAGTAAATGCACAGGTGGAAATGCTAATGGCATGAGGGTCATATTTACAAGGGGAAAAAAAAGGCTTTAGTTGTGTCCCAAATGGCGTACTATGCACTATGCACTTACACTATGCATTAAATACTCTACCGTCTAGTGTATGAATTTTAGAAGGGTAGTATCATCTAAAATGGAACACTAATGGTTTCCTACTAACTGGAAGTATAAGCCGTTTAGCAGTCGATGACAAATGACGTCAAATGCACGTAATGTAACGCCACTAGCTTTAGCAGAATACCCAGAGTCAATGAAAATGAATTTCTTCATTTTACTGTTTATGTCAGTGTTACCTTTTATGCCCAACATGACCTTTTTTGATTCTGAGCAAATTTGAGCCAGCGTCAGCACCTGGTAGCCCCTCCCCTCTTCCGCTACCTAAGCAAAGCTGTGACCGTTGAGTGTATGAAGTGTCCAACATTCCACACTTAGTTTTTTCGGTTGAATAAGTGCATCATCTGGGTACTTGAAGTGCACTTCTTCTTCTTCTTGGAATTTTCAGTGTGAATACACTATTCACATTATTTATACTACAAAATACAAAAGTATTATAAGCAATTTGGGACGCACCTTTTATCTTCATAGCTGGAAGGGTCTGATGTGTTCTTCTCCCATATGAGTTGTTCTCCATTTCATAATAAAAGGCATAAAATTGCATAAACCACTTCCCAGCAAGAGTCATAAGAAGTGCTTTCTTCTCTTCTCCATGACTTTGGACAAGTCTCACGGCATGGCTCATGATGCAACTTGGCCGACCTACAAAAGCGCTAAGCTATCTCAAGAGGACAAAGGCTACCAGTAGCAGTGGAGTGTTTTGATATATTATTTAACACTGTAGTTTTAGACACAGACAAAATGTACAGTGTAGGCTGACTGATAACTTTTCCAGTGTCCACACTATTGAGCTCTGTTTCAGTAATCTAGTATTTTACACTATTTTCTAGACATGCTCTTACAGTATGGTTGCTGATTGATTAATGAATGACTAATGAACACAGACTGCTATTACATCTATTTTATCATAGTGCAAACTTCATTGCCATTAGACAGCATGATGTATATACATACAACAAGTAAGTTGTAAATCCTGCACGGAAAAGAACAGGGGACTCCACAGGGAACCGAGCGACATAATATAATGTAGACGCATGCTTCAATGGACTGGAGTCTAATACTCATTAGATTCACTTTCTCATTTAATGTCATGCTAGCAGTCTGTAATGATGGTAAACAATATTTCCATTACCTTGATACACACAGTATGAAGCACAACGTATAGTCAGATCTATAATTATTTGGACAATGACACAATTTTCGTCATTTTGCCTCTGTACTCCACCACAATGGATTTGAAATGAAACAATCAAGATGTGATTGAAGTGTAGACTTTCAGCTTTAATTCAAGGAGGTTTAACAAAAATATTGCATTAACCTCTTAGGAATTACAGCTATTTTTTTTACATAGTACCTCCATTTTCCTAGGCTCAAAAGTAACTAGACAAACTAAGATAACTAATATTAATATAAGGATTATTTTTAATACTTGGATGCAAATTCTTTCCAGTCAATGACTGGCTGAAATCTGGAACCCACAGACATCACCTAATCACAAAAGTTTCCCCTTGAGATGCTTTGCCAGGCCTTTACTGCAGCCCGACTGTATTATAAATGAGGAGCAGCTATGACAATTCTTGAGCAAAACCGCAATTAAGACTTTTACAGAATTATTTAAAGGAAAGGTCCATCCTGGAATATATTAAATATGTTTATATTAAAATATGTGTGCTATGCTTAGTGATTCTGGTGGTAATTTCTGCTGTATTTTAATTATTCCTGTGAGTTAGTGCTTGTGTGCCGTGCTGACCTCATAGGGGGACATTGGTAATGTGGTTTAACAGGAGAAAAAATTCAATCTCAAACATATAACAGTGATAACAGTCAGTCAGCCACAAAAGGACAAGAGCTCAATCAACATTTTCCAGCGAAAATCAATATCATAAAATGAATAAGAAATCCAATGTAAATGTAGTGGAGACAGCAAATGTTGAACTCAACGTTCCAGAATGCAAGTTGCGCTGAATCATGGCAGAGACTTGGCTCGACTATAGTGATTTACGAGATGTCGAGTGATGGCGTTGACAGTATTAGCATGAAAGTTGAACCTTTCGAACCCTTTGTTTTTGAGTTCAAGTGTACAGATGAGGAGGTTAGAGAGCCAGACAGACTAAAAGACTAAAGCGCCGCTGCATCTGTCTCTTTAGGTATAGATGAATTTCCACTGGTGCTACTATCAGCAGGTAGTCAGATGGCACTATGGGTAATATCGGAAACTGTTAAGTAAAGTGAAAATAGACCAACGTGTAAATGAAGGAAGTTTAAGCTCAAAAAGTCAATACAGAATTTCATTACAAAATAAATCTTGGATCCCACTGATGATGATGATGATGACAATGTTAATTATAAAGTCGGTCAGGGTGGTTTTTTTTCCTCTCCAACAAGGCAAGCTGATGTAATGTCTATGAAGCCACAGGTCTAACGTAGTAATTAGGAGGGATATAGCCTCCAAACACCACTGAATGAATTTAGTAGTTTATTCAAGTGCACCCCGAGCATGCCCGAAGAAAACCAGAGCCTCGTGTGCTGTTATTGTTATTGTTTTTGTTATTGTGATAGAACCGTTGCTTACATGTCATACTGCATGTGGGACGTCTGCTGTGCAGTGACGTCTGTGTGTGACGTGTCATGTCCATGAACAGAGCTGTGTGGGTATGTGTACGTACGGACCTGGACTGAGACTCCTCCTTTAGGATATGGCATTTCAGCAAAGGTGACAAGCAGACCATCTTAAAAGCATAGGTATTCAACCTTGTGATTTTAGTTTATATATGGAATGCTTTTTTTTACAGTACTCAAATCAGGATATTATCCTTTATTATTATTATTATTATTATTATTATTATTATTATTATTACTTATAAAGGAAACCATTTGTGTTGCTTCATTTAGAAATAAACAAAATCATCAGGCTAAATGGTCAGTGGTCCATCATGTTTGATTGCATGCCTGCACAGGTACAGAAGTAAGTGTGTTTAAAAAGCAAACAGCCTGCACATGAGGTTGCTCACATCAGCACACGAGCGCGTTCACAGAGATGCCGACATGCAGCCTACATATCTGCGTTATAACCTGCTCTAACGGCTCACACACCCACAAGCGTGAAGCATGAACTGCCTCCAGAAACATGAATGACCTCTGACATAGCCTACACAAGCAATAGATGAAAACAGCCTGTACTTGGTCTGCATTGCGGTACATGACCGGCTACATTCCGGCTCACACACACACACACACACACACACACAGCACAGCGCCTCTGAGGAGCGCGCACAGTATTCTCCGTGTCCGCGTCATGGCATGAAACAGCACAGAGCAGAGCATCCTTACCTGCGAGAGCCGACAGCAGCGCGTCCGCGTAACCTTCACGAGCCGCACCTGAAGCCGCGCAGCTCCGCAGCGCCGAACGGACGCGCGCGCGCGCTCACGCACGGCCCATCACGCAGCGCGCGTGTGTCTCAGGCGCGCTCTGATTGGAGGAGACTGCATGACAGAGCCTTTAGGGGGCGCTAAAGCTTCCGGCTCGGTACACTGAGAGCAGCTGGAATGGGGCGGCTCAGTCAGCTGCTACATCATTAACACCAAGCGTCTGTTATTTTCAACTGAACCTCGCGCATGCATCAAGCGCGCGACATCTCCTTGTTCTTTGAAGAGGTTGCTCTGCTATGCACGAGCATGCTACTGAAAGCATTCATGCGTTGAAGAAGAGCTCCATATTTCATGCACAAAAGCTGTTTACTCCATATATATACACAGTTTCCATTTTATCAGGCAAATCTACTACACAGGCCATGCTGTGGGTACAGTTACTGACTCTGGCCTGTCTTGTATAGAAGAATTTTCTTAATCAAAGTATGATTTAAGTATGATTATCATATAATCCATCAAGTCTAATCAAGAGTTAAAATACTTAGAAATGATAAGAGCACATTTAGTACATCATACTCATGAAGAGAGTGACTTTATGCATATGATTTTACAAGAATATTTCTGTGT